TTGACGTCATGTGGCGGCTTTTTCCATTTAAACACATGTATTTTAGCAGATTAGGTTATTTTGTCATATTTCCTCCAATAATTGTCCAATTTGGAAACCAAGGATATCCTTGTACTCAGTTTTCCTAAAAGTATCATTTTAAAGATAAAATTCACAAAATTTAAGACACCTGCAAATTCTCTATTCTTTAAAACTGCCGTGCGAAGAAAATTCTGCACGAATTTCAAGGGATGATGTCAATTTGTTCCCCTTTAAAAAAATAACATCGAGGCGGAGATTTTCAGACTTGTAAACGAGATATGTGATCGCGGATTTACGTCGTCGATATGCGGGCACTTACGAAGTTACCCATATTCTTTCCGTAAGAAGCGTCTCTGAGGTATTCTGCTCCTTCTATCGTGCCCTCCAAGCCAAAGTATCACAAACGCCATGCGACGTTTAAAAATTCCCGCCGCCATTTTAATTTTTTACAGAGAAATTGTTCAACGAAGCTGTCCGAACGTTTCACTGACTTTTCTTTGTGTTACCGATAAAATACAGTGAAATTTTCAAACAGATTCAACCAACAATTTCTCTGTTAAAAAATAAAATAGCGGCGGAAAAACGTCGCATGACGCTTGTGATACTCTGGCCGGAAGGTTACAATATTATGACCCAAATCACAGTAATAAGCCGAATGATAACTTACTTCGTAGTTAAAAGCGGCCGTACGTGATAGCACAGATTATAACGGGTTTGAAACTAAAAAAACAAAGCGTAGCAAAAATGAAAGCGCAAACGAAGATGACTGACCCGCGAAAGTCGTTTCGTGGTTCCCCTCCGCGCGAATGACGGATGAATGGAAGTAAGTGGCAAACAAACCGGAAATCACCGGCACGAAAACGCATGGCCTAGAGCTTTTGCGGAGTTCTAGGTCAAGTGCCGATTTTTTAGCACTTTTCCATACCCGAACCTATGTAAAATTAGCAAGTTTCATTGCACAACTTGGCAACCTTGGTGCCGCGCCTGGAGTGTAAAACCTTTATCGAAGGAGGGTATGGATTCGATCGACATGAATCGATCGGAAGATGAAAACGTGAATCGATCGACATGAATCAATCGACCCGATTCAATCGATAGTTAATTTCAAAACCCACGTATCGATTCGATCGACTTAAATGGATCGAAAAATGAAAACGTGAATCGATCGGCACCGATTCGATCGACACTGATTCGACCGACAACCGTGAATTGATCGACAAAAACCGTGAGTCGATCGACAAACCCGTTACTCGATCGACAAACCCGTGAATGGATTGACGAAAGCGCGTAAATCGATCGAAAAATGCGTGACTCCATCGACAGATCCGTGAATGGATCGACAAACCCGTGAATGGATAGACAAACCCGTGAGTCGATCGACAAGCCCGCGAATCGATCTAATTTTGTTGACAGAATCGGTGTCGATTGAATCCCACGTCGATCGACTCACGTTTTCATTTTTCGATCCATTCATGTCGATCGAATCGACACGGGTGTTTTTAAATTATAACTGTAGGTAGAATCGGTGTCAATTGATTCACGTTTTCATTTTTCGATCGATTCATGTCGATCAAATCGACACCGGTTTTTTAATAATTTGTCGATCGAATCGGTGTCGATCGATTCACGTTTTCTTTTTTCGATCGTTCATGTCGATCGAATCAATACTCTCCTTGTCCAATGTCCTGAATAGGTAGATGGACATCATTTCGCAGACTTTGATCTATCGATCAGATTATTCCATAACGACTCAACAACAGAACTACAGAGCGAAGAGCGTGTCCAAAATGTGGCATGGAGCCCCGTCATGCGTGTATCCTTATAGATCCTAGGCCTAGGGCTCACGTTAGAGTGGACGTAGTTCCTTTCGATCTAAGTACGTACGTCCAAATTCAAGTCTGGCTCTCGAGAAAAAATAAGCGCACACGTAACGCTTTTTTCTCGTGCATCACAGTATAATTATGGACGACATTTTGCAATTAGGAACTACAATTTCTAACTCAGTCGTAAAAACACTCATGTGTGTAGGGAAACTAATGGTACATACGTCGTTTCTAAACTGAGCCAGATAGGTATTGTAGTTCCAAATTGCAAAATGCAGTCCAATGGAGAATTCGTCGCCTACCTGACATACGGGCGCAACTTCACTCTGGAATGAACCCTGTCTTCCGCATACACTTCAATGCTTTTCCTGATTCGTTTCAATGTGTAGTTACGCCCTTATGTCAGCCAAACGACGAATCCGCAAGTGTCTAAGGAATTATAAATTTCATGTTTAAAATTAAACCACTGAGTGAACTGAGCACGAAGATATTCTCAGTTTCTAAATTAAAGAATTATTTAAGGAATTATGAACAACCTAATCTGCTGAAATGGCTGCGTTTAACTGGGATTTGTCACCAAATGACGTCGTAAGGTGGCACGTTTTCTCACTTTTAAATCTATTTTTTTTTTCCAATTTCCCATTTCAGAAGAAAATTATAAAAGATACTCCGAACTCGGTTCATAAACCTGCTCTCTCAGATGAAGCAATACAATTTTTGCGTGAAAATCCTCCATTATGCTCTTAATAATAGTTTTGTGAACATGCACTGAAAAAATAAATTCGGTCATGTGAACAGAACGTTCTGTGTTCCATATCATCCCAAATATTCGGTTTGTCAAACTGAAATTCCCGTTCGTGTAACCGAATGCTCGGCATATTTGACCAAACTTAGTTCGTCAGTTCACTTAACCGCATATGTTCGGTTTGGTTTGACAAACCGAAACTTAGTTTGATGAACCGAATGAGTTGGGACGAAATAGAACACCGAACTTTGGTAAATACGACCTAACCTTTTTTTCAGTGTGAGATGAGTTTTATGAAGGAGAGATTTAACCCAGATATCCGGGATAATTTTTTCATTTTTTTAACATTTTTGTTTTAATGGAAATGGAATCTGCTTACTTGTGCTTGGATTACCGGGNCAGGAGGTCCTACCCAAATCTGGGGTAGGTATGGGGGTAAATCTGGGATGAATACCGAAGTAATCCTGATTCAAGACAATCACGATGGGACAAGGGCCTTTGTTGCCACGTTCCAAATCCAAAGTCATTCCCCCACCTGAACCTTGATTATTTCACTTGCCCCTACTGACTTGGATGGGGGCAATGTGCTAATCTCACTAATAAACAGCTTAAATCTCTAGGGGTTAGTGAGCTAAGCGAGGGAATTATCATACAACATAGTCTACATTTCGCGATGTGATCTTACTTGTAAGAATTTTGTAGGTCACCAAGTTCAAATTTTGTATTTTAAGCGCGTCATGCGTATGACACGCTTATTGCGATCGCCAGGAACTCGGCTCTTTGATATCTGCGGGTCGATTGTTGAATCGTTATCGAATGATTCAGATCGATTAATCCCTATCTTAGCAATGCTTTTTATCGATCAAGGTCATTCCATATCGATTCAACAATCGAATGATCATTTATTATCGAATGATCCTGATCGATAAATCCCTATCTTAGCAATGCTTTCTATCGATCAAGGTCATTCGATATCGATCCAACAATTGAATGATCATTTATTATCGAATGATCCTGATCGATAAATCCCTATCTTAGCAATGCTTTTTGTCGATCAAAGTCACTCGATGTATATTCAACAATTGAATGATCGTTCATTATCGAATGATCCTGATCGATAATTCCCTATCTTAGCAATGCTTTCTATCGATCATGGTCATTCGATATCGATTCAACAATTGAATGATCATTTATTATCGAATGATCCTGACCGATAAATCCCTATCTTAGCAATGCTTTTTGTCGATCAAAGTCACTCGATGTATATTCAACAATTGAATGATCGTTCATTATCGAATGATCCTGATCGATAATTCTCTATCTTAGCAATGCTTTCTATCGATCATGGTCATTCGATATCGATTCAACAATCGAGCCACTGTATCGATTATTGCTTATTTGATTATTTTGAAGACAATTCTGTGGCGGGGACGTATTTGAATTTTGGCATCGTGAAAAATAATTCTTGAAAACACTGGATTGCTGGTGATTGTTTTTAATCAATGCCGTTACTAAGAGAATTTATTAGATTTTTTTCTGAAGCCTATGAAGTTCTTTAATTTTTACGTATTTATTGATTCGCTTCGACAAATCGCGATTTAAAAACTTATCTCTGTTTAAACCTGCAAGGAATGACACCTTGCACGTATCAGAGTCGAGTTTCTGATTGGTTATCATTTTGCGGACGACTGCGCAGTGCGTACTACTGGTATGAATCGTGCAAATGCTCCACCATCGGTTAGTTTTGCAACTCATCAGTCACCATGAGCAAAATTTGGGTCGGGACGAGAAAGTTGGTCCCTGTGGTTTCTTTATTGTGGACACTTACAGCGCATAATCTGCGGAATACGCGACTACCTGCTGCCTTCAATTATATAGACCCGCATATTATTTCCGATTCAGAATGGGGGAAAAAAAAAATGCACTATCCAATACAAAGCTAAGTGTTCAGATTGCAACGACTTTCATGGGATTGCACAATTTCTGCGCCTTTGTCCTTTTCTAAGTTATTAGTAGTTGAAAGTCGCCTTTGACGTTCATTTATACTCATACTCATACCTGCTGGCCTGCTGAGCCTTAGAAACTAGTATCTGTTGAAAGACTCAATAATCTGCGTGAAAATAATTTAGCAATTGAATGCAATAAAATTCTCATTTTTTAAAACTAAAATTGCAAGATTTTTAGACTATTCGGTTAGTAAATGCAAAAGTAAGCACTCAGTAATTATTCCATGCACGAACGAGAAAGGTGGACAATTGTCTAGACTACTGTCTAGACAATGCCTCATAGCGCAATGATGAGGGGGGTGCGGGTGGGGGAGTGCATTTGGATTTGGAGCGTGAAAAAAATTAGGTCAAATTGTGATCCCAATTAGTTCCCGTTGTGATCGTCTCGAATTATAAATACTTCGGTATGTTCACGACTCTCTGCATAGCGCATCGTTCTGCGGCCGCTGGATCCCTGACTCGGACTTGTACAATTTTGACGCCACAGGTAATGTAAAGAAGTGAATATTGGCTGCACATAAAACTATACATTGCACATGTTCACAATACTTTTTAAAGCGATCATTTTGCTGTTTCTGTTGTAAGTAAAACAAGTTGGATTTTGCAATCGCTAGCGATAGCAATATTCGTCATGGGAACGTTAGCTTCTGGGATATGAAAATGTTAAGGTACAGTTCGTTTGTAGTATCTATTGAATTGAAGGGGCTATGTAATTTTGTGTTGACATCTCTTTTTTAACATTTTTAATTATTTTCTTTGCATACAAGAAAGCTGTTATGTACCAATTATTTATTTTCGTTGGATTATATATGGTTTTCGGAAGTTAACGCATTTAAGTTTCAGGTTCGCTTTTTCGGCGTAAAGTGTACACAAGGTGTCCCAAAAGCACCGGGACTTGTTCTGTAACTTCGAAAGTAAGATAGATACAGACATGATCTTGATTTCATTTTAAAGATCAACTCAATACCTATCGATTAAAACCAAGATCAGCTCAATCGGATAAAAATTGACCGAGTTATGGCAATTTGAAATCAGCGAGGAAAGTTTATGCCTACGGTTTTTAAGGAAGATTCTTCATCGCCGTAAATCGAAAAGTCGGCCGATAAAGTGATGCTTATTGTGTTTTTTTATTTTCGAGGTGTCATTTATCAACATTTTGTACCATCAAACACAACAGTTGACAGTGCGTATTATTACAAAGTACTAAAGGAGTTGAGAATGCACATTTCCCGGAAACGGTCGGACTTGAAAGCTTCGTGGATACTCCATCAAGACAATGCGCGGCCTCACACATCGAGCTTAACACGTGAATTTATGAGTAAAAATGGAGTTGAAACAATCCCTCATCCCCCTCATAGTCCTGACTTGGCTCCATGTGATTTTTGGATGTTTCCTGCGCTTAAAAAGGAGCTTCGCGGACGAAGATTCGTATCGAAGACAAAAATCCAGAATGCAATTCAAAACTTCTTCAACTCCATCCCAGAGGAAGAATTCAGGAAAACAATGTTGGATAAGTGGCAAGAGCGCATGAAAAAGTGCATCCGGTTTGATGGACGGTACTTTGAAAAGCAAAAGGAAGTTATGGAAGATTCGGAGGAAAGTGGATACGAATATTAACTTTTTGAATCCTGGTAAGCGAAAAATCTTCCTAAAAACCGTAGGGGTAAACTTTCCTCACTAATTTCAAATTGTCATAACTCGGTCAATTTTTATTCGATTGAGCTGATCTTGGTTTTAATCGATAGGTATTGAGTTGATCTTTAAAATGAGACCAAAATCATGTCTGCATCTATCTTACTTTTGAAGTTACAGAACCAGTCCCGGTACTTTTGGGACACCCTACGTATGATATTTTTACTCTACACATATGCCCAAATACGCATCATAAGGGACCTATGTGCTTCCTAAGTTGCCAAGTATTAATTATTGTTAGATGATTGGTCTAAAACATTCAATACAACCAGTAAAAATTAACTGTCCCCTGCGAGATTCGAACCCCCGCTCGCACAAAAAGTGTCACTCTCCCAGAGGCAGAACGGTAACGCAGCCAATTGAGGTATCTCGCTGCTCAGATATGCATGGAGAAAAAGAGAACACTTAAGTGATCTCGGACGCTGAGCGGGGCTTCACAAAAGACGTCCTTGAGATTTCAACGGTTCGGCCACTGGCGTGATAAGACACAACGGATCAACCGCATTACTCTGTGAGACATTGTTTACCTATGCTGTCATGTGTCACGAGGTTCATATCAACAGGGCATTTGCGATCGCGGCAGTAAGCTCAGGCAATATTTCTGTATTCATGGATTAAATCCATCGATCGAGTTCTGATTTTGGCTCATATATCCGTAACGGGTCCTCCAGAGCAATTTTCCACCTTGTACGATGGTTATTATTTCTTTATATCTATGTTTAAAATTTGAGGTGGGATAATGGCGGCTTCTCAAGAGCAACGAGGTAGGCGATTTTTTGCACCAACGAACAGAAAACTGATGGCGAAAAATAACCAATCAGAACCTCCCAAAAAAAAGAATTTGCCTAAAAACGGAACTTCGTGGTTCTGCGCAGATTTACCAGTCAGACATGACATCTCAAGGTAGAAAAAAACTCGCTGAAAGCGAATTTTAGCAATCAACACAACTTGACGTAGAGACATGATTGGCTAAAAAATACAACGGTTTTTGATACATCGGAAAATCAACCAAAAATCGGAGACTGGGCGAAACGCTCAAGGTCGCAGAGGTATAGGGAATCCCATTGTGAAAGCAACGGAACGATTGTAATATCATGGGGAACTCCGTTCCCATGACAAATATCCATACTTAGCAGTAAAAAGAAAATACATCTGAGGGATATTGTGTGCGATTGGAGGAGTCCATATGATGCTCCTAAGACTGTGCAACTTTACTTCAGTTTTTTAGTGACCTATGAATGGATCGAATTTAACAAAAAAGAACCAACGCGATTACAGCGATTTCAAAATCGTGCAACTTCTTCTCTCCTTTTAAAAATACTCAATATTTATAACTTCGGCGAACGAAAACGGTTCTTGGTGAAAAAAAGGATCGATTTTCAGTTTTTGGTGCTAAACATCTTAACTTTTTCTCAAGAACACGGGCTTGAATTTAATAAGCTTATAAGCATTATTTGAAATAATCTTTCTTCATACTAGTAACAGCAGCACCGAAAAATTTTAACAGCGGTGTTCTCTAATCCCCCATTTTTCGTCCTCAAACTTGGTTGTGTTGTCAATGAATCAATTTGTTTAATTTCTGTGTGTTCCTTTGCGCTATATGATGCAGAATTTACCTATCTAAGCCGTGATACGGCTATCTCATTTTTTAACCTCCCCTTAGGGTACATTTTGCCGACTCTGTCAAATTTTTTTCGCGAAATATTTTTCTGATTATATAACAAGAATGTTCGAGAGAAAAATATTTCAAGGAATCATTTGATTGCTACAATAGTGAAGTAAAATAATATTGAGGTGGTCTCAGCAGTATTCTATGGTAAAGACGCCCCCCCCCCCTTCATGAACCGTCTGTTTCTTACTGGAAGTAATATTCCACTGTTCGTTGATAGATTTTCTAATCAGTCCACTTAAAAAGTCCATTTTATCCCGCATTTTAGCTGAATGAGTATTTTTTATTTTTAACAAGCTAATGTTTTTTTCTTATCCCCTTTTGAACTTGATTTTTAACGGGTTTATTTTAAAAAGCAAATAGATCGCTTCAAAAGTAATGCAAATGGTTTTAGTATGAGCAAGGAGACATTTAAAGTTAGAAAAAATGCAATTTATCGATACGGTTTCAAAAACCACGTATTTAGTTTAAAAATAAGCTCTCGTGGAGCGCATTCAAAAATGGAGATGTTGCATGAGTGAGGAATTTGTGATTTAACTGTTGACTCTTAAGAAAAAGTTTGCGAGAAACACGATGGTGCCATTGGTTTTCTCTGAAATCAACTCCCAAGCTCAAAAAAAAAGCTCTCAATTTGAGGCCAAAATGGAGGGGATACGCTGCAGCACAGTAAAAGCACAAGATATAAAAGAAAAATTAAAGTGCTTTGGAAATCATTTAATTCAACACGGAACCACCTTACTATTCACAAAACACACGTTTTATTTTCCTCTAATACATTTTTTCCCCCACCATTTTAAATGAGAATAATCCATGCAGAGTGTGCAAACATTTCAATATTATGAGTTGGAAAAAAGTAAAAAAATAATTTACATAGAGCGGCGCGGCGCGGCGCGGCGTGCTGCCAGCGCGGAACGCGCCTTGGCGCCTACAAACCTGACAGGGATACTTCACGCATTGCGCAATGCGTGAAGTATCCCTGTTAGGTTTGTAGGCGCTAATAGGCTGCTGGCCGCCCGCCCGCCGCCCTAAGCAATGGAAAAGTTTCCTGAAGAAAGGAAGTAGCACAAATAGCGCAGTGCAAACAAAATGTTTAACTAATTTTGCAGTACAATGCAACACAATTTCATTTTTTAAAATCATGATGGCAATATGTTTTAGTCAACGAATGCAGACTATAAACGACTATCAAGAAGATTCCCTTGTGTGAAAAAGGTAAGCAATTTGCAATGAAAAATAAGCTGCAACGTATTTCAATTGTTGTACATTGCAAATAATTTCAATTAGAGGATCCCCTTCAATTAGTGAATAGGCAACTTACGCAGCAATCCCACAAGATAACGATGTAAGTTTAAAGTGTAATTACAATTTATTGCGGCCATACTGGAAGAGAAACTTGATTTCGTCACTTTCCAGTCGAAGTATCACAAGCGCCATGCGACGTTTCAAAATTTCCGCAGCCATTTAATTTTTTTACAGAGAATATGTTCAACGAAGCTGACCGAAAATTTCACTGAATTTTAACGGCAGCGGAAAGAAAATTCAGTACCTAACATTTTCAAACAGATTCAACCAACAATATCTCTGTAAAAAAATAAAATGGCGGCAAAAATTTTGAAACATCGCATGGCGCTTGTGATACTTTAACCAGGAGGTGACGATTTAAAGATATTTTCAAAACTTGTTTCTGAACTTGGCGGTTGCAGACACACACACACCCTCACCCTTACACACACGCCCATACATATATATATATCCGCTACCTCTGCGCACTACAGCGCTCTGCGACTCCAAATCGCCATCGGAATCGATCCTCCCACAAACCAATCGGGCAGATTACACCGCCTGATTTCCCCCTCCACTCCCTCCCGCCAACCTTTTACTCACGCCGTCTTCTTCCGGGAGGAACCCAATCGAATACCTTTCTGGGCAACCTACCATCTGCCATTCTCCACAAGTGTCCATACCAAACCAGCTGCCTGGTTTTGATATAGTGCACAATTTCTTCCTCAACCCCCATTATTCCACGCATCCGTTCATTACGAACGCGCTCTCTCCGCGAGATCCCTGCAGACCTTCGCCAAAAGTCCATTTCGGTTGCCCGTAGGATATCCTCAATATCCTCGGATCTTTTCTTCAACTGCCAGATCCTCACAAATTACTTAGTTAAAAAAATTACTTTGGAGAAATTTGAAAATATTAATGAAAAAAAAAAGAACAATTCTTTCAATATCTCAGTTTGGGCCGAACGCACTGGGGCAATGTTTTTTCTTCATTTTTTTGTTTCAGGTCGTATAGTCAGTATGGACGGGAATATTCCAAAGCTTGGACTCTCAAATATTTTGCTGATGTGCGTGATTGGTGCTATCACAATTCGCGCGATCTATCAGCGATGGAAGAATCGGAAACTCTACGCATTTATGTCATCAATACCTGGACCTATGTCTCTGCCATTTATTGGGGGGATCTATGTTTGTATAGGAATCTCAAGGAATAGTAAGTGTCTTCACTTTTTGTTTCCTTCCTTCCTGTGCTCAACATCGTAGTTATGCTTCAAATGCGACACTCACGCTCTGATGTGTAATTTTCGCATGTTGCGCATGCCGGAGCCTATGTCCAGTTTAGAACTGCCCAAAAATTGAAAGATTTTAATGCCGCGAAATTCTTGTTGAAATCTGCAATTTTTATTTCTATGCCGAACTGAGAAGGGAATTTTCAATTCCATGAAGACTTGATGGAAATGACTTGGTTTCCGTGTGAGTTGCATGGAAGTGTTTTGAGTTCCATGTCGAGCTCACAAGGAAATGTTTTCATTTCCATGAAGACTTGATTTCCATGTGAGTTTCATGGAAACGTTATGATTTCCATGTCGAAGGACATGGAAGTCAGACGATTTCCATGAAATCACATGGAAATCGGGTCATTTCCACGTGAATCTACATGGAACATTTTTAGCAGGGTGACTGTCCTAGGTGAATTTCTCCCTGAATTTAAGCCAAAAATCAATATATCGTATTCGGTAGTGGTTCGATGTATCGTTTGGTTCAAAACTATAGAACATGACCTCAAACAAAAATTTTAGGATTAATTTGGAGAAGTCGAAAATGAGAACATTGCTATCAATTATTCACTTTTCATTGCCATTTGGTACTCGAAAGAATGAAAATTCAATCACAAAAGACCATTTACCTCAGATTTCTATATTGACTGTTAAGGCTATGTTTACATGTTGAGCCAATCAATATCGATACAATCTCACCTGTTTGATGTATCGAATACGATCTATGACTACCAGCCTAAGCGCCAAGCCGGCTTAATGGAGATGTTGCATGTGTGAGAGATTTGCGATTTGACCATTGATTCTTATGTAAAAGTTCGCGAGAAACACGATGGTTTGACTGGTTTTCTCTGAAATCATCTCCCAAGCTCAAAAAAAGCTCTCAAGTTGAGACCAAAATGGAGGGGATATCCCACGCTATCCTGAGAGTCCACCTCTACATCAAGACAAACTCTCCATGTAAAGATAGGGAACAAATACATTAGCAGGGTTGCCACTTTATTTGGGGACTCCAAAACTGAAAACACGGCAACCCTGCTAATGTATTTGTTCCCTATCTTTGCATGGAGATTTTGTCTTGATGTAGAGGTGGACTCTCAGGATAGCGTGGGATATCCCCTAAAGTTTGGCCTCAACTTGAGAGCTTCTTTTGAGCTTTAGAGTTGATTTCAGGGAAACCAGTAGCACCATCGAGTTTCTCGCGATCTTTTACATATTAATCGATGGTCAGATCGCAAATTCCTCACACATGCAACATCTCCATTGACCCGAGGCTTGCTAAAAACATGCGCGTCGCGATTTTTATGAGACCGGTACAAAACGAGTTTTAGAATGGATATCCATCCAGACGTATCGGGCATCTTTTCTTAACTTTTCCTCCGAATCAGAGAGGTTTTTCGTTGACAGCATTGAGCGAAGCATCACGGGTTCAAGCCTCGTGCCATCGCGCCTTCAATTTTTCAGACGCAACACGGACATTCATCGAGCACGAATAGTTGTATCCCTGCGCCGTCATTAACGCGCGTCCTTTTCCTTGCTCTATTTCCATTCTGTGTGGATTTCGTTTGTCTCATATGTAGTGATGCTTCAAGATCTCCGTGAGGAGCCTGATAGCCCGATATTCGCACCGTTAGAGAAACTTTCTGTGTGTGGCGGATTATAGTGCACGTATCATTAAAAAGCTTACATTCGTCCATTAACCCTGTCGAGCATTGAAGAAAATTATGCATTTGGAAATGATTTATATTTTTAACGATCAATTACAAACTTTCGGAGACGTGTGTTACAGTAGCTGAACGATATTAAATAGCATTGCATGCCTCTAAAACAAGAGGGCCGTTTCGACGGTTAAACTAAGAGACGACGTCGTAGACTTGCCGAACATATTATATTGTTTTAATGAAAAAATACGCAACGCCATATCTTGAAAACCTCCCAAAGTATCCTCCACTGTGTGAAAAATAATTTAGGAAAATTTCGAGCAATAGTATTGGTTTGTTTGCTATTTATAAATACATTATGTGATCTTCCTGGAAAAAGAGATTTCAGTTTTACATAAAAATTAACAATAATGCAAAGCAAGAGCTGCAAGAGTGCAGCACTGCAGCTGTAGGATGCTCCACTTCTTTTTATGAAGTATGCATGAGTGAAATGCAAAATAGAACGTAGGTATGTAAATAGAAGGAGCTACCGCTACCTCCATTGTGCTTGTGACATAGGCTCTAGCGTCATGCATATATTCTTATTATAATCTCTGCACCTAGGTCATAATTGAGGTACTTTCATTTGATTTCAAATTTTCAATTTGATTTTATTTGATTTGATTCATTTGATTGAATTCCAAATTGTCCGATACTTTGGTGAATATATCACAAATTTATGGGTGTTTTCAGATTTATTTAGAAAATTGAAAACATTCAAGAAGAATTATCCTGGTATTATTGCTGGGATTTGGGAGCGAGGAAAACCCCACCTTATTGTCAGCAGCCGAGAAGTGGTGAATGTAAGTAGCTAAGTATATAATTAGACAGATTTATACAGGTGGGAATCATAACTTGATTCATATGAAATTGGCGTTTGGGAACTGCAAGTGAATTAGTGGTGGAGATCAAGTGAAGGGATCTCCTGCCTGAATACAGCAAGGAAGAGAGTAAAAACAAGCGGGAAAGTTCTAATACTGTCGTATTAGAAAAGCGCTCAGGTGTTAGTAAATGTATTTAATGAAGAAAGGACGTATAAACTCCGTCGATTTGGCTGGGAAATGGAAATAAAACATCAGCTGATAGCAAACAAAGGTTACCAAGGAAACCATAAACGCGTATTTTTGTTTCCCGAAAATGAGCTCACCGTTGAGCTCATCGGGCGCGTTCTTTTAGGCTTCATTTGAGTTCAACGATCAATTTCGATAAGAATTACTCTACCGCTAAGAAATTTTCTTATAGACAAACGATCGAAACTACCTGCGCATTAAGTTAAAAGCATAAAATACAGTTTTCACAGCTTTATTTATTTTAAAAATGGACCCCCC